TTTTTCCTTTTTTTTTAAAGCTTATGTCACGCTGCGAATACGTCTTAAAATACACAGTTTGGAGACACGGTCTATAGAGCGTGTCTCTTCCTGCCGCACCGATCATGCAAAAACTGTCCCCATACATGTTACAAGTATACATGCGTATTAAGCTTCAAATATGCTTTTGGCCTGGCCGGAGACAATTTTGTATTCGTGACTGTATACCCAACGCCCTGTCCTTTGCAAGAGGGAAAAGCAGCGCGAGTGCGGCTTGTTTGCAAGCATTTCTGGTGGCACGCTGGGGACGCGTGGAAACGATGTCGCTCGCACGTCGTATTTGACAGGGGGCACCTGCATGTCTGTATGTCTCAGGGTGAAGGCAAAGCCTGGCAGATTGCCACGAGAAGCGGGCGCCGAAATTGGAAAGGTAGAGCGGCAGACAACGGATGAGAGGAGAGCCACGAGACGGCCGCCTTGCTATGGTGGTGGTGGCGGTGAAAACTTTTAATTGTTTCTTATTTGTGGGGTTTCCCCCCCTAGGTTCAGGTCCCCACGTCCAGGGCCCCGCAGGCTAGCGCTATTTTTCTGGCCCGAGCGATCAGCTCTCGCTGTTGCTCAGGGCTCGAGCCGAGTAGGGCAATCTCCCTGGAGGATGTGGAAGGATTTGGTGTGGGTCGGATCTCTTCTCCGAGTGGAGTCGGGCAGGCCGAGGTACAGTGATAGAGTGTGGGGGTCGGGGAATCGCAGCCCAGGCATGTGCCTCGGTAGCTGCCAGGAAAGAAGAGGTGAAGGTGGTGTAGATTTGGGAAAAGTCTTTGTTTGTATGCGCCTCCATACGGTAGCCTCGTTTCTGTTTACGTCTTTGTGTGGAGGTGGGTATGTCCTTCGCCCAGATTGGTAAGATTCTGTAACCTGATGAAAGGTTTCGAGTTGTGGACTTTGTGCGGGCACTCTTCGGTTTCGTCGTCTGACTGTTGACGGTTGCAGACGGGTCTAGTCGAGTTGCTCTCGACCAACTCCTCTTCCCCATGCCGGGCTGCTCGGAAGGTCAGTCCTCGAGCGAGAGAGTTTGCACTCTCATTACCCTGAAGAAGAGTGTGGCCAGGTGCACACAGTATGCGAATCAAAGGGAGTTCTTCGTGGGTTAGGTGGGCTAGGATTCTTCTACTCCATTTAGAAAGGAATCCTCCTGCCCAGCCCCTGCAAGCAGCCTGAGAGTCGGCGATAGACGCCGCCGTTGCAATAAGATAGGAGCGCGTCGCGTTGATGCGAGCAAACAAGCAAGGCAGCTGATAAGAAAGCACGCGCGTGCGCACTGCGCGGTTCTCGGCGGTGTTATCTGTGTTACGTCACTTCCTCGACCAAGTTTTTGTTACATCGACGTCCCAACTTTCACCCCTTTCCAAACGCAATAAATAAAAAAAAAAGTAATTGTACGTCTAAAAAAAAAAAAAAAAAAACGCTAGGCGGAAAAATGGTTTACATGTCACTGCTGAAGCAAATGTGCGAGTGTGTATGAAGCCTAACGAGGTAGAGGAGCTTAGAGCGATAAACTGGCATCCCGTTTACCAGATAAAAGCGACCCCCACCTGGCTGCGGCCATGTTGTACAATGTTGACCACTAGACACGTGACCGTACCTAATTCTAAGGCTTTTACGCAAAACTGAGCCGAGATTCGCATCGCGATCGCTGTAAAAAACACGATAAACTATTTTTTTTTTTCAAACTCTTAGACCTAGAGAGAGGTGTCTAGCTCCGATACAAACCCAAAATAGTACCTCGACTGACGGCATTAAGCGGAGGCATTGCGAAGCTGTCCGAGTTTTTGTCGTAAAGGCACACTTTGGACTTAAAACAAACGAAACATAACTTATCTCGTCGGTACTGCAATTAAAGATCAACAAGCAATTATTTGCGCGGGGTACCTCGTCAAAAATCTAGACGTAACACTAAAAAGCCGCGTGTCTAGTGGTCAAAATGTGCAACATTGCGGCGGCCCAATCGGGGGTCCCTTTCAGCTGCGAGTCCATCGCTCTAAGGCCCCCTACCTCGTTGGCGAAGGCACATGCCTTCAAACAGTGCCTGTCATTCGTCTGTGCAGTTGCCGGTCTGCGCTTTACACTTTTTGCGACACCTGTTTCTGGCACCTTGATTTTAAAGTAAAACACCAGCGAACACTGCGGGTGTTGCTCTCTGCGAGCCCGGAGAAGCGTTGCGTTCTCGCTCCGTAAAGAACCGTTCATACAGCAGAGAGTTTTAGTATTGCGTATACGAGCAAACGCAAGCGTTGTGCGTTTGCGTTAACTTTTTTCAAGCTGCGCCTGCGCGAAGTCGTCATGCGCCAATTCAAGGCCGCAGTTTGGGCTCCGCGCACGCGCAGTGTGGAACACGCAAAGCTAACGCAGAGGGCTTGCGTTCGCTCGTATACGCAATACTAGAACTCACTAATATCGCTCGTTTAACAATTTTTTTTTGGTTGCGTGGGCGATATGATTGTGAGTTTCCAAATCGATCAAGTGGTGCTCCGTTTGGTTGCCATAATGACTCGCAATCGTGACACGACCGAAACACACGCGAAGCATAGTCAGATCGTCATCGTACACTGCGTAAATTAAGAAAGAATCCACGACGGTAAGCATTTGTTACAGACAATTTAGATGAGGAATTTTCCCGCTAAACCGCTTAATGTAACGGGAAAATCGTGACGTCACGTGTCACGTGCAATGACGTCACAACGCACTAAGATTGCGCCGCTAAATTTAGCAGGACACTATTATCCTACCAAAACGCGAAACCCAACCCCGGGATCAGCTATACGAAAACGATCGACAATAACGGCCGTAACCGTAAAAGGAAAGCCGCGTAATAATAAAAACAAAACCAAAAACAGGCGGCAAAATCTAGTGCAAGCCACAGACGACGCGCTATTATAGGAGCGGTCCTCAGTTTTGCTCAACCCAGCAACGTTTGTCGCGAGCGGCGCGACGTCGGCGAGCTTTCATCGCGATTGTCGCGGACAGCTTTTTGTATTGAAAGAGCAAACAGAGCCAGCGCCGTTCCGCCTAGAGACGGACCGCTGGAGATTCTACGAGCCACCGAAGAAGCCAATGCCCCGCCGTGGGAGTGCCATACGCGACCTTCGGGAACGGCACATGCGAAGCGCTGGGCGCCTAGTCCCGGGACAGTGTTCACAGCGCTGGATTGCTTAACGTGGCACGTAGCTTCTCCTGTGGTCCATCGTAAACTGAAGCGGAGTATGGGCCGCCCACACTACGCAAACAACACCACTCCCGCACACAGATGTAAACGCACGACAAGAGTAATCCCCGGCGCAGACGCTACCAAATATCCGTTTCGTTCACTCCGAGGGGACTGAAGGCGAACAGATTCGCAGACCAAACACTACACTCCTCCGCGAGACTTTCGCACGTTCGAGAACCGACGAAGAACTTCGTACTCCATTTCACCGTATGTGATGGACCGCTACGAACGCTACGAATTATGTCAGCCAATCCAGTGGCTCGGGGGTAACACGTGATTAGGCGCCCACGGGCGCCCTTTTCCAAAGGGTCACCCGACACTCGCGTGACATTGACCCCTCTTGAAAGGGGTCACGTGACACTGGCACGGCATTTGGATTGGCTGGGGGCTCGCAGCGCCTGCTGCCGTCCATCGCATCGAGGAGTCAACAAAACAAACGATGGCATTTTATTATTTTTTATTTTTTTCTTTTGGGGCGTGTGTTGCCTTGGGCGTTTGAAGCGCTTGCCGCGTTTGTATTCGCGTGCAGCGCTGGGGCACGAATCTGTTCTCGTATACGCGTGATTGGTTCCGTTGCTAATGGGCGTTGGCTTGAGTTAGTGCAAGCGGAAGCGTTTATAGACTGTCCACCTGTGTGGGTCGTCGAAAAAGGAGGAAACGTGGAAGCGTCTGTTTGGAGTGCAAGCTTCTCTGGTGTGCTCAAGCTGTGCTCTCTCGAACGTCAGCGTACACGTGCCATGCACTGACGCCACATAATTCATTTCGCACCACCACGGAATAGCGAACGAGGGCGAAGCTGCTTTTGTACGTATATTGAGAGACAGGTTCATCTTCTATAATCTTGTAGAGGCAGAATAGCGACGTTTGGGAGCTTCTGGGGCACACGAAAGAGAGTTTTGGTGAGAGGGGAGTTTTCTTCCCTTCTTCACTGGTGGTGGTCGGAGAGCTGACGGGATGAAGTCAGGTGCAAGTCGTGTATACGAAACGTCTCGTGCGAACGACGAACGACGCGGGACATGGAAGAATAAAGGCCGAAGAATGCGACTCGTGTTTCACGCAATTAACAAAAAAAAAAAAAAAAAAAGAGATTAAGAACAAAAGTAAGGTAGAGAAACACAACACCGTCTCAAAGGTTTGAGACGGTGTTGCGTTCGTCGCCCTTTTTTATATCCTAATTACCAGTTTTTTTTTTCTACGATTATTTACTAGCTCGCCTGCGCAGGAACCCTTATTTCTTGTTTGACAGCTTTTTTATTTTATTTTGTTGTGTTTTTCCGCACAGCGAAAATTCATTAGAAACCTTAAAAACTTGCGTCTCTGCCCGAATGATAAAAAAAAAAAAAATGGGTGCAAATAAATTCGAGGTTACCGTTACAAAACTCAAGAGTTGGAAGCGATTTTCGGGCATTCTAGATTAAAAATATGCCCTCCTTTCTTTTCAGGCAAATATTTGCCGTTACTTGGGTGTGTTCTTTTCAAAAAGAGTCAACATAGTTCCTTGGGTGTGTTCTTTTCAAAAAGAGTCAACATAGTAAGCCATACCCTCCGTTTCTTCCGGCTGTCAGTGACGCGTTGTACATATTTACACACCAAAGGTTCTCGACACCGAAACGTGTTTCTTCCATTGAGCCATCGAGAGACGCTGATGCGTGCTAAGCTAAGGAGGGCGGGCCACGGCACTTGCGCAGTCAAGCATACAGTACATATTCACACATTCCACTTAATGTTACACGATGTGAAACGCGCAATCGCTTACCGAAGCAGCAACACGATCCGGGGACGGCCGCCGCTTTGCTCCAGCCTGTTCTCGCGCGAGCGTGGCAACGAGGAAGAGAGCCTTAGGGCGATAAACTGGCAGCTGAAAGTGACCTTACAGTTTTACGTCTACATTTTAACGAAGTGCCGGGCGCAAAGAATCGCTTATTGATCTTTAATAACAGTACCGACGAGATAAGTTATATTACTTTTGTTTTAAGTCCCAAATGTGCTTTTGAAACAAAAATTCTGCAAACTTCGCAACGTCTCCGCTAGATGCCGTCACCCGCGGTGCTGTATCTACGGTTTTTATCGGAGCTAAACACTGATCTCTGGGCTAACAGTATCGGAAAAATAGTTCATCGTAATTTTTACGACGATCGCAATACAAATTTCGGCTCAGTTTCGCGTAAACGCCTCAGGATTAGGTACGGTCACGTGTTTAGTGGTCAAAATTGTACAACAGGGGCGGCAGCCAGAGTGGGGGTCACTTTTGCCCGGTGAACGGGATACCAGTTTATCGCTCTAAGCCCCTCTACCTCGTTGGAGCGAAGCCAACCCCGCCTAGAGAACGAGGCCTGCACATGACGTCACTGTTAGTGGACAAGGCCTGCCCAAGACGTCATGGTTAGCGGCGGACGCTTAAGTCTCGGCGTCGCTGCGTGGTATATAGCGTCGCACTCGTTGTTGGGGAGGCGCGCTGCGTATGGCCCTGGCGGCGGTGCTGACGCAACGTTGAGACGGTGCTGCGTTGGTCCACCTGTGATGTCATTCGGAGGGGGGGGGGGGGGGGGGGGTGGAGCAGGCCTTGTCTTCTAGCAACCTTCGCGGTGGTGTTGGCGAGGCTCATTTCTCTCCTCTCGCATATTTATGAAATGCTTCGCGCTCGCGAGAGAAGCGAGCGAAACGATTCCCTCGGGGGAGAAAACCGCGCGGCGACTCGGGGTCAGCTCGTTAATAAAATAAATAACGCAGCGTTTTTTCTGCACATTTTATTGATTAAAGCGTGAAATGGTTCATAACGGAACCTCCGTACCATAAAAGTTTGTCCTTCGTCCGTCTGTATATTTATATATATATATATAGACTAAGACGACGCGATCACATATTATGGTTTCGTCATATTATGCAGTGCGTTTGAAAACATATTTGTACCTCCATTCTACAACGTGTAAAGGGGTGTCCAAACAGGACACTACAAAACGCACGACTCCGACAAATCGTGAAAATTGAAGCGGGCGCTTCTATAGGAGCGTCCGCTTCAATTTTCACGATTTGTCGGAGTCGTGCGTTTTGTAGTGTCCTCTTTGGACACCCCCTAACTCTGTGGTTCCTGTTTTTTTTTTTCCTTACTTCATTGTTGTAACATCAAATTTTTTATTGGTTTCGAGTTTACACACAGCTCTGTAAAACTTGCACGTTGATAGTATTTATAGTGTAATATATGATAAGAGGTTGTTAGGCACGTTCGGTTTGCTTTACTCCATTCACCGGTAACCTGACAGTGCGCTGAAAGCTCGTTGGACCAACCATACGCCTGCCTTTCGTCACGTGATCACCTTCCCGCCCAAACCTACGCGCAGAGGGCCGTGGTTGGGTGAGGAAAGGGAAGCGGTTGATTCGTCTGGCGAGCGCGTAGCTCACGCCGCACTGTCAGCTTAGGTGAAGTATGTACTAAACTACAGAAGTGGAAGCTGTCCTGAATAACGTTTAAGCGTCGTCATATGAGGTGGACGAACGTGTATAGGACATTTAAAAAAAATTTCCGTCACATAATGGAGCACTTGTGTGGAAAAACATTTCAACGCGGCAGCACGCCGAGCACGTCAATTTACAGGATAAGTGTCCGTGAATTTTTTTTTTCTTCAAACACCTTCTTTTACACGATGGCTAAGCTGGGTTCGTTGAAACTTCCCAATCTCATTTTTTACTACTGCCACTTCTATGTTTGCGAAACCATACCTCGCAGAACGATATGGGGTGAAATTGATCAGTTCTGTATAGCATCGCGCCGCTTCGACGCTTGCTTTCACTTAGTTGTCTGCTATGTGCGCGCCTTCCCTAATTTACTCTTTTTTACATTTCCCTTTTCTTGTTGAAATATAAGTACCTTCGAGCTTTTGATGAGCTGCATTGGCTATTTTCCTTCTATGAGCAATTCACGAGCCGAGCATGACAGAGACATGCTGCCACCCTTTTTGACTCTGGGATTGTCGCATTTATTTTCTTAGACAGCTGTCATGATTGTGCATTTAGCACAGGCAGGGTCCCTATGCAAATTAGGAACGACTACCATATCATGAACCAGGCACGTGATAGAAAGGACGAAGCTGTATAAAACCTGTTATTACCAAAAGGCGCCACAAGAGCAAAAGTTCTTGTGCCACCGCATGCGAGAGCGACAACCTTTCCCTCTCGTTTTGTTTCGCTGGCAGGTTCTATGCTGCCCACATATCTAATATCTCTTCTCAGTTTGTTATAGACTGTTTACTAAAACCAATAGGGGGAATGACTAACTTGCGGAAACCTTTCTGTGGCGATGCAGCCAATGCTAGGGGAGAAGGTGCTCGTTTAACCGCAGTTTCCTCCTCTCTTCGGATTGTCACAAGAAGTTTTCTCTACGTTGTAAGGTCGATGAGCGCCTGTTGAGCTAGTCATTTTTGGCTTCAGAGCGGTTGCGATGGCGGACATCTTCAGTAGAGGCAGACAACTTTGCCCTATTAACGCCAAGCACACACACAAAAAAAAAAAAAAAAAGAATTACGACGTACGTTTTTGAAAAGTTTCCGATGTAGACATCGCGCTACTAAAAAATAACTACTGCCTGCAGAATAAGAGGCACCCGTCAACGAGCCCGACAGTGTTTGTGGTCAACTGCTTCGCAATGTTCAGCCGTGATTTCCATGATTTTGTCGGAGAGGAAGACGGCATCCGACGTTAACCACACGAAGTCCAAGTTCCACACGAAGAAGTAATTTCCCAAAACATAAAAGAGGCCACCAGCTTAGCGAACCTAAGTGTGACACTATTAAAAATTCCATACATGTTAAAAAAAAAAAAAATTTGCGGCAAATATATCAGACGAAAACAAGCACAAGCAACGAAAGCTTTTTTAAAGATTGGCCTTAAGATGAGTGACTTTTACCAGGCAACTCCCACTGGTTGAACAGCCGGATTCGTATTCAACCTGCATTCACTATGCTGCTAACTTGAGGACCGCTTACGTCCATCCAGGAAAGGTGCCAGATTTTGACCCTGTTGTCTCCCGGACTAACAAAAAAAAAAAAAAAAAAAGGAAATCTTCTCACTTACTCCTGAAGTAACGATGCACTTTCTTAACAAGTCAAGAAACTTTAAACAACAAGAAGTGTATGGGCAGTCGTTGACCCTTACGAAAGTCACACCCTAGACAGCAAGGATATTAAGCTTGCCATGAAATACTAGACGTCGGACGAAAAGGATTGATCAATCAAGAGAATTCAAGAGAAAGCCCTAGCAAAAAAGATGTGCGTGTGTACTTTCATGGAAAGAAAACACTCACCGCAAAACGCTTCTTGACAAGCGCATCAAGCTTAGACTAAAAAAGTTCTACTCATTCCGACTCAAATCGGTAATAAAAGTGCCAATACACGAGGAGTGTTTCCGCATTTATTGCGCAAGTTTCGCTCTTTGCATGGCATTAGTGTCAAACGTGGGCGACCAAGAATTAAGTCTCGAGGACATTAAGGGACTTTACCTACCTGTGTGCTGACCCAACTGAAGAGCGTGTTTTGCTCACCTGCAAGGTGCGTCCAAAGGGGGATGGTTTAACACTGGCATCGTTGTCAATGAAGGAAGAAGAAAAGGAAATAGCTTTGTGGGAATCTGGCGGACTGATAAAGAAAAGAATGGAAAGTAACGCATTCTGCAGGTGAGCTCAGAAAGTGTGTAACATAGTACCTCGTCCATTCATTCATCCGACGTGCTCAGACGCTTGCTGTAAGCTCAGAAACGTCGCGTCTCAAGGTCCGTACTAGAGCCACTAAATGAGCTGCGCTTCAGAGTAACGACACTTGGCCATACTGTGGCTTAAACTTATCGTTGCCAGTTATCTGAAGCTTTATCTGAAATCACAGGAAACGCTTTCCTGTCCTCCACAAATGTTTAAACAGTTCGCGACAAAGCAAAGCAATATTACATGAGCTTCCTAACACCGAATCTAGTGCTGATGAAGTCGCACTTTTGAATCATGACGATCGGCATTGCGTCTGCTCTGCTCATGCACCAAAATAGCGGGACCCACTAAAATGTCGGGTAACAGAGTGCCGGCCGATACTCTATAGGCGCTGCTCATTTAGTGGCTCTAGCTCGTATAATCGCATTTCACTTTTACTTTGCGGAAACCTAGAGCGTCGTTCTTCAGAGACTAGCACAAGGCTTTCACTGGAAGAACCAAATGGTTTCTCTCTTCACCTGCGTCACTACAGCGGAACGCAAAACCTCCAGCTTCGGGGTCGCCAGCGAGGACATCGTGCATGATACAGCACATGCACTGTTCGGTCTGCGCACAGTTCGAGAGTGGATGGAAGAAAACATCGCGATACTCACACAACTTGTCCACATCTCCAATGAAGCGGCCAGTCAATAAAAAAAAAAAAAAAAAATAAAAGAAAAGGTCTCAACTGTACGAGATGGCGAAAAGACAAGAGATGACGACCAAATTATTTTTTCAGCTACGGGGCACGGCAAAAGTGCATGTGATGGCATGGGGGGATTCCTCAAGCACCAAGTCCCCTTGCACAACCTCAGGTCGTCAGAACTACAAACCACTTGAAGTGTTCATGATTCTGCTCGTGCAGCGGCCCCGAAAGTGCCTGGAATTGCACTCCTCAAAAAGGAAGCAGCATGCCTTCCCAATACCGTGACACATAGAAGAAGGAATGCAATTCTGTGAGTCCCGTGAAAAATATTTAATGCTGCCACTTGTTGATAAATGGTCAAAATAGACACAGAACTTTTAAAATTGCCATAAAAAAATACGAATCCTTACGAGTAATCTTAACTTCACTTAAAATCCTTTTTTATTTTATCTCCATAAGCCTTACTGTCAGCTTATAATACTATAGCTGCTATGTAATGTTATGCATTTCTCCGTTTATCTGTTTTCTTGGTTATTGCCTCTAATAAAAAAGAAGTAAAGATGGTTGGGGCCAGCCTAGTTTCTTGCCAGTGTACGTGAAAAGACGGCCGCATGAAAGAAGCAAAATTTCGCCCTTTGCCCGCCAGACTTTTGAA